AGAGCCTGTTTAAGGAAAGACATAAATCTGTAACTGAAGATGAGGTCTTTGAAGATCTTTTAATTTCCCAAACCCCTTTGTCCTAGTGAAGGTGCAGACTTGTGTGTGGGTGGAGAAAGAAAGATGCAGATCTGTATGTTGCAATTTGTTGTTATTTTCTGCGAGGCTTCTTTTTCTTCTGCCCTCCCCTTCCCAAGGGTTGATTCTAGTCATAATCATAACACAAGAAAATGCAGGTCTGCTCGTAGTAGTGACAAGTCCAAATGACACTGCTAGAGAAAGCATTCAGGCACATGCTCTGTGTTGTTGTGTTCCTCCTTACTATTTAGTATAAGTCACAAGATTTAGTAGAAGTATAGTTCCCTTCCAACCATTATTAATAAAGACCTCTAGCACTTTTCCAGAGGGGTATCAGCTAATGTTTAAGGTTCCTTACGACAGCTGATTTAGAACTTAAATCTTTCTTCTGCAGATGGTAGCAAGGTCTCTGATTCAACCTTGATGGAAGTCTTACTGATGAATGACTTTAAACTTGTTATCAACAACACAGCATACAGTGTGTCATCTCCTGTAAAAGGTAAGAGCAATGCTTAGTAACTCTGATTATCTCACCTCATCTAGTGGAAGTCTCAGAAAACTGGAACCTATCTGGAGGAAGGAATTTATCTTTGTTTTTTTGTTTTGTTTTGTTTTGTTTTTTTGTTTGTTTTTTTTTTTTTTGCCATTGGATGGTCCCACTTTTTGGGGTTGGAGGTGGGGAGAGAATGAAGAAGGGTGGGTTCTTGAAATGTTTCACATGACAATCATTTTATTTTCAGATAAGCTGAGCAGTGAGCACGCTACTGAAATGGAAGATATCAAATCATTGGTTCACAGACTGTTTGTGGCTCTACATTTAGAAGATCACCAGGTCAGGAAAGAGAGAGAATTGCTACAGAAATTAGACCATCTGAAAGAAGAGCTGATGCCTCTTGAACAGGTTGGAAAGTGGGGCTACTTTTTTTAAAAAAACTCAAAAGCATTTCCTTTCATCAATAGTAAGTCCTGTGATAGAAGAAAATCAGCATGAATGGCTCAGGTGTGTCTGTTTTGTTACGTAAACGAGGGTAAATTCAAACACAAATGAGATTATTTTCAATTCCCTCCTGCTATGCACATTCCCTGGGTAGAAACCACAATACCTGGAGAAAGCTGTCCTGAACAAGCCTCAGCATGGCTGGTATTGAGATTGAAAGTACACTTAGTCACCTGTTTCTGTATGAGTTCTGAATACCCATTACAGAAAAAACAATAGTGAGGTAGAAACCATCTGTTGCTCAGGCTAGGGTTTTCTAAATCACCAAGGCAGTAAGGCAAATTGTTTGGATTAATGGGTGCCAGAATCCAGGAAGGGAAGGTATGAATGTTGATCTAGAGCAGGCTAAGCAAACCCAGCATGAGGGGAAGAAGCCAGAAAGAGCCAGACGAAGTGGACAAACTTTTCCTTGGCTTCAGAGCTGCTTTGGGAGGACCAGCCTTGACCAGAGCTTCCTTGAATGGTAAATGGAAATCCAGTAGACATAAATCCCTAGTAGTGAGAAGATTAAAAGTAGGATTTCTTGGTGCACGACAGCCTGGAGATCTGGTTGCCCTTGGATTTCAGGCTTTTTCTTTCTCAGCAGGGTAAGTTGGTAAGAGGATTCAGTAAAAGAACCTGAAAAAGGATCTAGCCCACCAGGAGAAAACAGAGTTGAGGAGCTGCTTGTTACAGGAGCACTCATGTCTGCTTAAACAGGTTCCTGTATTTCTTTTCCTTAGATGAAAGCCAGAATTGCAGAAAGTGCAGATGCAAAGACCTCCAGGCTTCTGTGGGTTGGCTTAGCGCTGATGTCAACCCAAGGGGGAGCGTTGGCGTGGCTCACGTGGTGGGTCTATTCGTGGGACATCATGGAGCCAGTCACATACTTCATCACTTACGGGAGCGCCATGGCTTTCTATGCCTACTTTGTTCTTACTAAACAGGTAAGTCCTGGTTTTGTAAATGTCTGGAGTATTGTAAAGGAGGAAAACTGGCTCTGAAAATCACAATGTTCTGATGAAAATACAGCTCAGTAAGTAGCTTTGCCATCAGACAGGGACTTGTTTGATCCCTCATGGGGCTGGATGCGAATGTTACATCATGCAAAATCAAGCCAGGCACTGTTACACATGAACTGCAGACCAGCTACCGAGCGTAACTACTATCTGTAAGGTTTCATAACATACAGAATGAAAAGTGATGAAAGAAGTCTGTCCTTTTATTCTAAATTCTTGTAGATCACTTTGAATAGTAAACAGCACCTTGCTCAGGGTAGTGCTGTGCCAGTTTGTGAACGCTGCCTTACGGAAGCAAATGATTGAACAGTAGCTTTTATTTGCTGGAGTTTATGTATAAATGATGCGGGGTACCAAACTGGTTGGAACTCCGGCAGTTGCATTATTGAAATATACCTAATTTAGTGCCTAAAAAAAATGATACTGCTTTGTTCTTCATAATGTGACTGCTTTTCCTTGACTTTGAGTGAATGGAAATAAATCTAGGACAGCGGAAATGGAGCAGGAAACAGGCATAGTTTAGAAGAAAAAAAGTTTGCTGAGCAACAAAAAAAACAGGTCTTAACTGAGCTGTGGAATACACTTGTTCTGAAATCCTGTAAGACTTTGGGAAATGTTTCTTTTTCCTGTTTTAGCTATGTTCTTTACTCCCAAAGTGGACAACTTGATGTTGAACTTCCTGTGATGCAAAACTTTTTGTTATGGAGGTGTGTGGAAGAGTAACCAGCACTTCCTTCCACAGTACCAGTGGATCTAACGATCAGGTTCCTGTAGTGAAAATGGGAGATGTGTCTGTTTTTATGAAGAGCTGGCTCCGAATGCAAGTTCTACTCCTTCTCACTGATTTTTAAGAAGCGCTAAGGCATTCCTACTTTTTGTATATGAGTCAATAAAGAGATCACTGCTTGGCTTTTTTGAACAGCTGCAGGTGCCATTGCTGGAGGCTTTCAAGTGGGTCTTTGAGAAATAGTAGCTGATGGAATTAGTGTCCATTGACTCAGGTGGCTCTAGTCATTAAGATCACACTATGTCTTCATTATAATTGAAAATTCCTTTAGATGCAGTAGAAATGATTCCTACTGCGTGTTTAAAAAGCCCTTATAAGGGCATAACTTCATATGTAGCCTCAACAGAACAGATGTGTGTGGTGAACTAGATAAATCTTCCTGAAACAGGCTGAATTTCTATTGAAAACTCATTTGTACGGATAATCTCGTGTCTAACCATTCTTGCTAATGCCAAATATCTCCCTGCTTTCTTCACCAGGACTACATTTACCCCGATGCTAAAGACAGGCAGTTCCTCCACTACTTCTATCGGAAATCCAAAAAACAGCATTTTAATGTGGAACGATATAACAAGCTCAAAGAAGACCTAGCAGAGGTATTTAAATACAGTCCTTAAATAACGTGGTAGCCTCTGGCTTAACTTTTCCAGTAAACTCTCAGCTAACAGAAAATTGACCTCAATGTTTGCTACTTACATTCAAAATAGTGTATCAGCCAGTTTCAGCTGTTCAAATAACTGTACGGTGTTTGCCATCGATGTGTAAACCACTTCAGTTAAGTCATCAGAAAGGGACACCTTCATGAATTTAAAACAAATAACTCAGTTTATCAGCCCTACACATATATTTTTTTGCATACTCTAGTATGTTGCATTTTTGGCCATTTTAATAGGTTTGGGGTTTTTTTTTAATAGAATGGCTTTTGGAGACAGTGAGTTTGCTGCATTGCTCTGGTAACGATATCTCCTCCCTTCCTTAGAAGGCAACTGTCTTGCAGAGTTCAGCATTTAATGTCCTAATCCTCTTGCTTAGGTAAAAGGCTCAGATTTACACATGGGCAACTAGATGGAAAAGGCGGTGTGTGCACCTAGGAGAAACTTTGTGGTCTTCATAAAAAAGTGTAGCAGATCTCTCACTACTCAATTCTTACTCCCCCATCCCATCTCGCCAGCCCTGCATTCAATGTCTCATAGAAGAAAATTGAAATTACCCCCAACTTTAGTTCAGGACCTGTGGTTCAGGATATTGTTCCATGAGCCACATTTGACATAAGGCTGCAGTTTGATGCTTTCTGAGTAGCCTGTGAGTATGAATGTTGTGATTGTAATTTCAGGACAATAACACATCAGGGAGTGGGCGGATGGGCAGGGCACATGCTTCTCTCTGGAGACTGGCTGAATGACCTGAGCAGGTCTGTAAATGTTCAGTGTCCTCCATGTGATTAGTCTGGTTCCTTGCCAATGCCTTCTCAGACAGGAAAGCTTCTGGGCGTGTGAAAGGGAAAACGGAGGGCTGTAGAAGGATGAACTCTCTCTATTTTTTGCACTGGCAGGCAGAAGAATCCCTGAGGCGTCTGCGCCAACCTCTGCGCCTGAGGCTTCCAATCCAGGAAATCAGCGACAAGGACTGACTTCGGTTTTGTATATATTAGAATTGCCCTTTCAAAGCTGACACAAACATTTAGTTACTCTATAGAAACTGGATATTTTTGACCACTATAGTTTTAAAAGTTGAAATAAATATCTATAAAAATTATTTGGTCATTGATGGTTTGGTTTTGGTTTTGTTTAACCCTATAATGAATCTGCTGAAACGCAGTTCTTTGAGATATTTGTCAAGTCTAGTTAGTAAAATGGAGGCATTCTGCCTGCTGGTAAAATGACAGGCATGTTTTATAGAAGGGCTGTCTTTCTAGTACCATTTACTATAGCACAGCAGTAGCTCATAGAGTAATTAACTTCTGCATTGAGAATGAAGGATTTTTTTCCTGAAATTACCGTTTCCTTTTCCCTAGCTCTGTGCATTGACTCTGTGGGTGTAACACCATTGGTGGAGGTTAGACTTACATAACAAGTAAGATTTTTTAGTAAATAGCACCGGAGAAGTACAATATATCAAACTCATTTACTAGAAAATCATATATATTTCACTGTTGCATTTTATTCAAAGAATTTATCAAAACATTCAAACATGCATGATTTATACAAAGCTTAAAAGTAGACCCAGTAAGACTTAATATCTATGACTCAGAACATAGTATATGGAAAGAATTAACTAAAACAGAACCAATAAATCAATTCTTTTATACCCAGGAAAGTGGATTAAGACAATTCTATCAGCTTGAGTTCTCCATTGTCCCCCAGAGTTAAACACATGTACCAGTAATGTAAAAAAATAAAAGAAATACTTGCTTCTAGTCAGTATCATTGAAGTTACTGACGCTGCAGTAGTAACAGTCCTGTGGTGACAAATGACAAAGTCTGGCTGATCTCCTCTGGGCCCAAGGGGAGAAAGAGGCTGATCCAACTCTGAGGCCTGAAGTATGAAGGTTTCTATATGCTGCGTTTTGCAGAGCTGCCTAGAGACATCCAGCGGTTATAAGTGAGCCTGGAACCTTGAAATGATTTGCTTTGGCTTCAGAGTTGTGTACAAGGCAAGCTCACCCAAAGTCGCGCTAAGCAAGGTGTACGTGGTCTCATTTCACTACTGCTTGCTTTTCTCCTGAGGATGCAAAACACCAGCAAGCTGTAATTGTGTCTCAAACATAAATGATATGCAAGCAAAAAGAAGCCCTTTATCTATATTAATGCTACAGTTGTACTCAAGGAATTAAGTTCCTTTTTAGTGTTGAGAGAAAATAAAAAAATGTTTAAAAAGCTCAATAAATCCACCAAGATTGGAAGGTGGATACTGCTGTCCACATATAAAAGATGCCCTACAAACATACTCCCTGTAAACTGTGCTCTCAGAGCAAAACTAAACTAATGTGACATTTGAAATATTCTGGAAATAATAAAATGTGCCACAGTTAGATGGCAATCAATCAAAAAGCTTTTAAGAAAAAAAGTAATCTAGAGAATCATTTTCAATAAAATCTGAGCACCTTTTAGTAGTTTTGCACCAGTCAATTTTTCCCCAATTCCCTGAGATGAACAGAGCTGTAATACCAACTTCAAAATTGCTTTAAGATTTTAGGAAGTATACAAACTATAACGTTTGATCCCAGTGCTTTTGCAAACAATTTTGTAGGATATTAGTCTCCTGAAGTAAGATGGTGTAGTTTTCACTTCTGCAGTGAGCACTAAATAATGGTTGTCATTGTTAAATAACAATCTACTTAGATTTTGGATGAAAATACAATTTTTTAGTTAACATGGAGGCAAAACAAGGAATCTGTTTTTTTCCTATAGCATTAATGTCTCTGCACATATCCACTTTGCGATAAGATACTTTCCTGTTAACAACAGTAAGAAGTTCAGTGAACTCCAAGGAAGAGCCGTGCTTCCCAAGTGCCTCACACAAATCTTGAATGTACCAGGAGCCATTTACAGTTTCACGATGAGAAAAGTAACCTATAGTAGGACAGGAACATAAAATGATATCTGAATGTGAGTAGTGATGCCACTTGAAAAATATTCATGAGAGTTACTGCTTACTAGCTGCATCTGTAAGGCATTACTAATGGGTGTAAATCTGGCTTTGCCCATTATTTAATTTCACTGGAAATTGTAGATGGGAAATGGCTTTAAGGTCACTTACAGTGCTCAGCCAAGAGGAGCACGGCTCAGGGACTGGTACCTTACAGGATTTTTATCTGCACACTGCAAGAGAGTGGATGGGACTGAGGACAAGGTACGTGGAGGGCTGGAGAGGACAGCCATGTACTGCAGGGAAATTTATAAGCCACCAGAATCCTACAATCCTGCAAGAGGGGAATGCTTGCTGTCAGCAGACAGCTCGGCAGCAAGTTTGATGAGAACGTTTCTGCTTGGCAAATTAACTGCAAACTGGATAGGTTTTTTTTCCACTTTTTCCTTGACATGCAAGGCTCTTTCCCAGACGAGATGTCACTTATCAGACATGTAAAACAGATGACCTGGAACCGCACTCATTCTTTTGACTGCAAAATGTAGAAGTGCTCAAGCTTGTTACAGTGAAGTATCAGACATCGGATGTAAAAGATGAGAACTTACCTTGTGCCACAGAGTAACACATGATAAAGTCTGCACCAGCAGGCAGGGTATAGACACCAGCTGCATCCACTTCGGTCTCATTGACGATGGATTCATTGCTACTGTCTATTGAATCCTGAGCAATAACTGGATCATCATGTTTATCACCTCGACATGCCTGTTGGTGAGAAGCAGTGTTACGCTTTCACCTCTGCCAAGTGTATCTATGTTAGTACGGTCTTTCTGACAGTAACCAGAGGGAACATCTCTTCAGTTAGGTGTTCCATGAGTTGGGACTCATCAAGACCCACTTAACTACTCTATCAGTTAAAATGTTGGTGACAAAGTCCAGTGAAAGCCCTGAGATGATCACAGATTCACCGAGATGGAAGAACCTCTTAAGATCACCCCTAGCTAGAGCAGGTTCTCCAGGACAGTGTCCAGTCAGCTTTCAAGTATCTTCACAGATGGAGACTCTACAATCTCTCTGGGTGACCTCTTACAGTGTTTGACTACCCTCACACTAAAAAAAGTGTTTTACTGTGTCAAGAAGGAGTATCATGTATTTTAATTTGTGCCAATTTCCTCTTGTCCTGTCACTGGGCGCCACTGATAAGAGCCTGGCTCCCTATTCTTTATTCTCTCCCACCAGGTGTTTATAACATTGGTAAGATTCCCCTGAGCCATTTCCTCCAAGCTGAACAGTCGCAGCTCTCTCAGCCTCTCCTCATATGAGAGATGCTCCAGTCCCTTACTCATACTTATGGCCCTTTGTAGGACTCACTCTAGTAACTCTGTATTCTTCTTTACTGAAGAAACCAGAACTGGACATAGTACTTCAGATGCAGCCTCCCCAGTGCTGAGCAGAGAGAAGAATCACCTTCAGACCTGCTGGCAAGGCAGCACTGAAGCACAGCCATCATTATATGCTCTTGTACTTCTCTTAGTTCAGTCTCAAAAGTGTTAGTTGAGGGAGGGTTTTTTGTGAGAAGCCAGTAAGTGACCCCAGTATTGTCAGTGTTGCAAAAAGGCTATACATGGAGGATAAGAAGGTAAAAACACACTCAAAAGATACAAAGTAGGTAAGGACCATTACTTAAGAACTATCATTAAAGAGAGAAACATAAAAATCTTCTTTCATTTACAGTGATGAAGTTCTGCCCTTGCTGTTTTCCTGATTTCCAAAGATAAATTCTATGCCAGTTGTGCTGTAAAAGAACTCAGTTGATGAAATGAACTACGTTAATATGCTTTTTGATAAGTATAGATTCTAAATGTTTCCAAGTGTAAATATTTTCCCATCTTTGGCAACTGGTTATAAAAAAAAAAAAAAATCAAAGATGAGTAAGTCCTAATGAAAGATGAATTAACAACATGCTAATTCTTGCAGGAGCCCTGTGCCTAAGGAAGCTTTCATTTGAAAAAAAAAAAAAAAAAAGTAATTCTTAGAATTACTCTATAAACTACTACAGTTACAGTCTGCTGAAAGCCAGGTTCTCCTGTGAGTTTGCTAATTGTAATCTGAATAAAGATGGGATAAAGCCATCCAACTCTGCTTTGAACAGGAGGCTGGACCAGAGACCTCCTGAGGTCCCTTCCAACTTGCATTATCTTGTGAACCAAGGAATGAAACAGGAGGTTACATAGGGACTTTATTTGACAGCTTAGCACAAACTGTATTTCTGAGACAATAAAGCCTTCAGTGATTCTTTAAATTCTACAGAGGTGCCAAGTATTGGTCATGGACAGAAAAGAAAAAAAAACAAAACCAAAAAAACTTCACCACCACCAAACCACTCCCGCCTCCCCCCCCCCCCCCAAAAAAAAAAAAAACAAAAAACCAAACTTCTGTAAGGATCAAGTAAAGGGACTTGCCTGGAAGGAAACAGTGAAGGTAAGGAGCCTTCTACAGCCTGGCCTAGGGCTGTGAGGTATGAACAGTAGGAACTGAGTTGAGGCTGTACACAACCTTCTCACAAAAAAATGTCTTCTCTGCCATTAAATATACACTGACAGACAATCAAACGGCTTAATTTGGGTTGCTCTTTGTAAAATTACTTCTTACTAAATACAGCTAGAATCATAATATTAACACTTGCATGCATAAAGGTTTTGTTAAAAAAAGAGAACAATCCTTGTCTTAAATGCCTTTAAGGAACAGTTTTCCATACTTTCTTTCCTAAAGATGCAAAAGCTTGCTCTTGTGGAAAGACTGTATTGGGAAAACTGACTTCTGTATTACAAGAAGACATAGGTCAGTGTTAACTCCACTGAATTCAGAAACAGACATCTTACCTGAATGATAAATATCTTTGGTTTTCCTACCAGACTCTGGCACTTGTCTCCTCTGAACATGTCTGTGATTGCCTGAATTTTGATTTGAGCATCATATGCATAAATATGATCATCCTCTCCATGACTCAGGAACACACAAACAAAGCAGTCAGCATTACTGTGGTCATCCTTAGAGGCTGAAATAGTCAAGTGGTGCTTAGATGACTAAACAGTGATCTTCAGGTTTAAAAAACACTGTACATTTGTATCATATAATTTAATCTCTGATCAGTCCTCTTTCAAATGAACCCTATTTTCAGATAGTATAATACTGCAGGGATTTGAAGGTGCAACGCTTCAACATGGTTGAAGGCAAGGGCCACTAAAAGTAAAAAGAATGTTATTCTCCCAGCTGCAGGTACTTTCTTTCAGCTCTCAGTGACTTCATTAGTTCTCTCCACAGAAGCTTCACTTGCATTGCAATAAAATAATCTGAAGTCTAACCCCTAAGTCCTTCTAATGTTAAGCAGCTTCCTTGTGCACAAAAATTATTTTAAGTTAGATAGAGAATAGAAGAAAATATATCTGAAAATTCTGCTACAGTTAGACATAACCAATATGTAGACTCTTACCTTCATAAATTTTCTGCAGTACATCTTCTGCTTTCAGATCATCAAAATGTCTGACTTCAAATCCAAGGTCTGTCAAACTATTGTTAAAAAACATCAGTATTAGTAAAAATATTGGTCAAATTATGTCAGTTTCTACCAACTCAGTTGCTTTCCCTGTGAGAGAATGACTATTCGTGTTTATGCATTATTTATGGAAAAAGCTACTAAAGTTGATCTTGAACTAAACCAGTGTCAAGTACAGGTGTAATATCTGGTGTTACTTGAAGGAGTTTGTCCTGAGGGAACTCTGGACTCACTGAGATCACAGGACTTGTGATCTCAGTGACTTAAAGGAATATGCCTTGAAGCCATATTAAGCCAGCAGTTTCTGTGACTTAAAGGAATATGCCTTGAAGCTTTTTTTATTACGACTTTTTTTGCCAGGGTTGCATAGGTGCTTATGTCTGCAGAATCTTTTGTTCTATACTTAAATGTAAGATTTAGAAAACTTTATTTGACCATGATTTCTGAAGTTTAGCTTTTTAAGTTTTAGTAGAGAAACCAAGTTTCTTACCTGCGTTTCAGATTGTTTCTGTCTGCAAGAGTCCCACGTCTGTCTGGCAGCCTTAAATGCCAAAAAAAGTGTTCATGATTGAAGATTAACGCAATTCCTCTTCTTTGGTGGTTCATTTTGTATTGTACTGCAGGATCAAGTGTTTGTCTGTTGCCAGAGATGGAAAACATTCTTGATAAATGAGTTAATGGCCAATTTAATTCCCTTCCTGTATTCCTGCTAGCTGAGATTTTTTTAATTGACTAGAGAACTCAAAATGTTCAGTATTTTAGGAAGAGTCTAAATTGCTAGGTCTTTTTTAAAAGCTCAGGCATGTTAAGAAATTCAGTAAAAACAAGTGTTGGGTGTGTACTAGGCTCTATCAGGTAGGTTGAACAGTTTATCTAAAATGGGTTTGTATTTTCTTGTCAGGAGGCTGTCTCATTAGTAACACAGTAAGGCATAAAACTATATTTTCGACTTGGCTCCAATTCTCCATGTTACGTGTTTAACTAAACGTTGTGTTAACATAATTGGATACTCCATATGCACTTATTTGGAATTGTAGCTGTCTGAGATTTGCTTGAAGTTTTTCAAGCTGAACTGAGTGCTGCATCATAAACAGACCATAAACTGGTGATGAGGTGGTGTGCATAGTCTATCTTGTAAAAGGAGAACAAATTTCTATTATTTACCCTAGCAAAATGAAACCTATGACAATACAGTGGCTCATCTAAGCTTTTAGCAACCAGCCAGCAAGATCCTAAAGCTGAAGGACAGAACAAATGACCTACCCAGCTCCTAAGTAGAGGACTTTATCATGGCAACAAAAGTATGGAGCACTTGTGTGTTTGCAGTAGCATTCAGCCATTTTATTGTTTTATGAGCAAAACACAACATAGAAGTCTGCGATAGCACACTGTGGACTGTACACCTGAACCCAAAAGGTTGTTTCCAAGTGTTGGCATGGCTGTATTTTGAGAGACAAAGCAGACAATCTTGCTGCTTTTGTAGACACAGGTATCTGCAGAAACAGAAACTAAAACACTTCTGGCAATAGACAAGGCACAGAATGACAGTCCAGGTCATGCTGCCCTAGGACTGGCTCTAGTCAGAGCTGTCATTATTGGCATGTTACTGGGTTTTTTTCCTGCTGTGGAATGTTCAGTTTTGGTGCAACTGGTGGAAGAAGTTGCTTAGAATATTTGCCTGCAGATGTTACTTAAAAGATCGTATTTCATCAGCAAAATGCTTTTGTTTCACTACAAAATGGCCAAAGTAAACTATTTGTGCTTCTCCACTTTGAGTAGCCCCTTAATAATAATAGCCCCCATCTTTTTGTAATGTCTGCATAAGAATTCAAACAGGGAACAGGAATTCTGGATAACTGTTCAAAGTCTGAGGGATTCTACAATGTTGGCTGGATAACCAATATGAAAAGTTAAGTGGGGTGCTCCATCACACTCCGTCAAATACAAGTACTTAACATGATAAAATGCAAAGATGATAAACTTCAGCCCTGTAATTATATTTCACCTGTACCAGTACCAGAGTTTATTCGGATTTTGACAATTTATCTTCCTTAGGATTCAGCTGGACATAGGGCTAGTAGGGATTTTCAACAGTTACCTTCCTGGATCCTGCGAATGATCATTAAAGGGTGGTTCCCTCAACAGCTCCTCCTCTGCTCAGCTGTATTCACTGAGTGGGTGAAGCAGAGGAATTTATCAGGTAGGTAGGTTACCTCTTCCAGGGCTAGATGATGTTGTAGAGTAAGAAAAATTAATGGAATCACTATCCCATGATCCCTTTACCCTCCTTGTAGAGGAATATATTCCCATGCTACGCTCTACCACTTAGTCTGCCCAATTTCTCCTTAGATCGTGGTGGTATTTTTGCTACAGTCTCTGCACATTGCCTAACATAAAAGGAGTCCACTCCTCAGAGTCCTTTCTGCATGCCTTCATGATAAGAAGGGTGGTTCTACATCTAGTGCAGCTAAAACTAGAAAAGTTTTCTGTCAGTGGGTAGAGTTGAGTTGAATAATCCAGCCACATTCTTAACAAAAACCAGAAAACCCTGCACTGACCTCAATGCTGTGGGCCATCTCTCTCATTGCCATGGGATCTTTACCTTCTATCGAGTGCATCTACTTCTGTGATGTTCCGATTTCCATCTGTTAAAGAGATCAAAAAGTAATTTAGCCACTAAATCGTTCATTAAAAAGAAACAATTTGAACTTGTGCAACCAGCCTTAAAGTTAGCTGTTAATGTGAACCAAAAGCTCATTTACCCAGCAAGTAAGTAGGCATGCAGTTGAACAGATGTATTAGCATTTGTCCGCACCCACAGCTTTTGGAGGATGTTCATAAAGTTCTGACTCCCAACAGTCTGACTTTTAGGTGGCTGAGACATGCATATTTTGTATTTGTCTGTGTATCTGTATCTATATAGACATATTCAGGGATCATGATTTTCTATAACTAACTAGCTGGCTGTATTTATTTAAAGAGAGTCTCTGACTCAATAGTTATGATTTTACACAATCTAAAAATACACTGTTCCTTTTATTTCAGGAGTGCTGCTAATCCAAATGTGAGCATTCTCTCCGAGACTGGATGCAGCATATGAGTCACAGTAGGTAGGGTAACAGTATGTATAGCTAATGACAACTGAGAAGATGCAAGATTTATACTTTTTATTTGCTAAACGATATAGACATAATTATCTCCAGTAACAGAATGCATATAAAAGTAACATTGTGGGAACAACAGGGAACATGCACATCTGGAGAGATCTTGAGAGCGTGCAGAACTAAAGACCTGCAGATGGCCAAAAATATTTATTCCTTTCGCTTAATCATCTCAATGGACTATAAAATCACAGCTCTTGCTACTACTGGTGGAAACTAACTACTACATTATGAAAACTATATAATATACTGTACCTGTGGTGGTTAATGTAGGTCTACTATCCAACTGGATGTTGCCTGCAATTATAAAGACGGGTTATGTATACGTATACTTTACAAACTACTTTGTATATATGATACTACCTTTTCACCTCTGTTTTTCACATCTGATTAAAGCCTTTTGCAAAACAAACTAACATAACTATGTATTGATAGAGGATGTTCATACAGACATTGTAATAAACTTGCAGAAATCCAGACTTGGCTCTGGAAGCTTTTAATAGCACAGGAGAGTACAGCGTGGCTCAAAGGAAGTCACATGCTTCTAAGTATTACTATTTACATGTAAACCTTCCACTGGCAAATATCCATCATGCTCTCAGGTGATGAGCCTTACAATTATCACTAGTAATCAGAACGCACAAAAAAAGTTATTTCAGTTTGCTTGAAACTTAACCTGTAGGTCAGACTAATGACAGAAGTGCTGAAAAACGAGTGTAGATAGAACACAGCAACACCAGTGCCTGTGACTCCTGATAATAGGTAACAAGAGATTAGTGCATCTGTATGTTTAAATTTACGCTGTATTTTAGCTTGTCTACCTGAGATGTGGCTGATGCTTTTACCTCAACTTAAGGGGCGGGAGGGGGGTACTCCATTCCCTCAAAAAACAACAGAACATGAAAACGGTATAGTCATCAAACTTTCTGACAGGAAATTCTGTCATGTAAACACAGGAAGAACAGAATTCATGGACCAAAGAAAACTGGGGAAAGATGGTTTTCCTGTTCTTTTAATCCTGTTTAGTCAGTTGCCAGTCTTTAGCTTTTCATCGCCACTGGCATATTGCAGTTTCATTCAAGTAAACACTACTTAAATTATGAATATTATTTATGAAAAACTTTCTGCTTGTCTTACACAGATCTGTTCTAAAACCTGATTGCTCTCAGTGGGCCCACTTGTCTTAAATCTTGTGAAGATGGACGGTTTCAAAGGAATCAAAAAATCAGGCACGCACTGGATTACACTGGGATCTGATAGCATCTTTCCTTGGATGTATTTTAATCTCAATAGGTCTACCATTTGGGCCAAAGGACATGGCATTCTGAAAATACCGGTAACCAAATGGCACCAAAACGCCCATAGGTAAGCTGACAACATCTCGGGAACCAACCTGCCCTGGCTTTCCTGTTCCTCTCATCTCTCGTCCTCCTGTTACACATCACTGTTCTTGAATTTTTACGATGCCAGCTGTTTTTCTTCTGTGTTGGGAAAGCAGCCCCGTGTCCCCGATCTCGCCTCGCCGCCCTGCCGGGCTGTCCCGGGGCTGCGGGGCCGGGCGGTCGCGCTCCCCCCTCGTTAAAAACACCGCCCACCCCCTTCTATCGCCCGCCGCGGTGGCGGGACGGGACGGGACGGGGACTTTACTCAGTGGGGTGCTCCGAGTTTTACACGAAAATCTACTTCCGCGATGGCCGCCTCAGCCGCCGTGCCGGCCTTCTCCGCGCCCGTCACCTTCCCCGCTGCCCCTCCATCTCCGACGGGAAGCAAAGGCCGCGCTCCGTCGCTCCGGTTCGGCCGCGGGCCCTCGCACAGCCATTCCCCCCCTCCCGCTCTTTCTCCGCGGGGGGCGATGGGTTCCCGGCCGCCCACAAGCCGCGTCGAAACCCTCGGTCGCCAGGGCACGGGGGACCGCCGCGACCGCTAACGACCCCGCACAACGGCCGCCATTTTCTCCAGCCCCCACCCACCTGCCGGCCGCCGCCGCCGCTCCGAGCCCGACATGACCGCGGACACGGGCACCTCCGTGCGCGCCTCGGCCTCCCGCGGCCGGCCCGCCTCCTCGGCCCGGCCCGGCCCAGGCACCCCCGCGGGGGCAGGCCCTTCGTCGTCCTTCTCCCCGGCGGCGGCTGGCGAAGGAGAGCCCCGCGCCCTGCAGGTAAAGCCGTAATGGCAGCGGCCTGGTGTGGCAACGCCCCGCTCTGGAGATGGCGAAGGCCGGCTGCCGTGGGTCGAAACTCAGACGGGGAAAGGGAAGGGTGATGCGTTAAGGCGTCTCCTGTTTAAGTCTGTGGTGCCTTATCTGTATTCCTGTGATGTGTACTGTACTGACCGTGTTTCCTTAACCGCGCCGTTGTATACAAAGGCATCACCCTGAAACACGGTGAGAAGCTAGTGTGTTTAGTAAATTGAGATTTTTCAAAAGTTGTAGAAATTCCCTTAAAGGCACATACCGTTTCCTTTGCAGTAACACTACTATTACTCAAAATACATTTTCATTCTAGCACCTGCATGTAAACCCTTGAGACTTCTGTGTGTAGGTAATTCTGCAGCTTTGCTCTGTTCTTGCATCAGTTCTGTTTGATGATCTTAGAACTGTGAGGAGAGCACCAAGGTATTAAAGAGAGTGCCAAGGTATCTGTCCAAATGCTGGTATTCCCAGCCTTTGCATTATTTGACACTTACTTCACGGTCACTGATGGACTGCATAAGAAACAACAGTTTCTAAACCAAAGCCAATGACAAGAAAAATCCTGTATAAGAGCTTTGCAGGTTTGTACCATGGATGGATCTGAATTTCCTACCTGGCCTATTTCTAGGAAGGCTCTAGGATAAACTGGTGTCAGTATGCTCTTAGAGATTGCTGCTACAAGCACAAAAGGAGGCGGATTTCGAGTAGAATTTTAGGTATTTTTACCCAGTCTGTTTGGCCTGTTTTTACACAGGCTTCTCGCATGACTCAATCTCAGACAAGATGACTCACTTCTGGTTAAAGGCACTATGGGTATTTCTGATCACCTTTGGTTGTTTTCCTCTTGTTTTGACTTGTTATTATCAGACTGCCAGTAGGCAGCTAAATCAGGATAAAACTGTTTAAATTGTCCTTGTGTTTATGTTAGAACATGATACTATTTAAGAGCTTAGCATCTTCCACTGAAACATCTAGACTCTTACCAAGAAGATCCATTTTTCTGCAATCTGCAAATCCCAGATCCCTCATCTGACACTAGAGCTGCCCCTAAACCCAGTGGCAAGAATCCTGTGAGAAATAGCAGCTGTAGAACCTAAATGTAAGACTCTATGAGAGCTTTCTGTTCAGCAGTTTGAATTCATATCAGACATATTCCTCAGTCCAAGATTGCTTAGATCCTAATAAGACATTTAAGCATCTTTTCCACTTTGTTTTGCTGGTGGCTAAGCGCATACTCCGCCAGCCACTGCGTTCAGATGAGTTACCAGTAACGATCACGATGTACAGAGCCTAAGGTAGCATTTGACTGGTGTGTGTTTCCAGCTGATTTTAATATATGAAAGTTTTTGTTACACATGCATGTGGATGTTTTCAAACGCTTCCAGATTGTTGCAGTAGCTCCATCATAAGTAGGTATTATGGGCGTATCAGAACTGCAGTTTAAAGAAGGAAGTTTGATTGTGGACACACTGCTGATACTCAGATCATCCAGAAAAGCAAAGCAGCCTGAGGAAGGCAACTTTATTAAGACTTTAACTTGTTAAAAAAACAAAACAAAACAAAACCACTGCAATATTTAAATAATACTACTGGCTACATAAAAGCATGCAGTATTGAGTAAAATGCCAAGAGCTGCTATAAATAGTATTGTCATTTAACCCAGCAGGCATTTAAACACCACACAGCCATTCGCTCACTCCCCAAGTGGAACGGGGGGAAATAATCAGAAAAAAAATATGATTTTTGAGTTGAGATAAAGGCAGTTTGATATGACAGAAGAGGAAGGGAAATAATAATGGAATAATATACAAAACAAGTGATGCCCAGAGCAATTGCTCGCCACCCGCTGATGCCCAGCCAGTTTCTGACCAGCGAGGTGGCACCCTGCATCCAACTTCCCCCAGCTTTATTGTTCCAACATGATGCCACATGGTATGGAATATCCCTTTGGCCAGTTGGCATCAGCAGTCCTGGCTGGGCCCCCTCCCAGCTTCTTGTGCCCCCCCAGCCTCCTCGCCGGCAGGGCAGCACGAGAGCTGAAAAGTCCTTGACTTGGTGTAAGCACTGCTCAGCAACAGCTAAAACATCAGCATGTTACCAACATGATTCTCATCCTAAATCCAAAACACAGCAGTATACCAGGTTCTAGGAAGAAAACTAACTCTATCCCAGCCAAAACCAGGCCAAGTATTACACTTCTTACATATATGTCTCTATCTACATAAATTGTTAAATGGTATGATTAATCCTGGGGGTGATAGCTAGCCTTCATTTCGGGGCTGTGGCCTGTAAAATGCATTTTGTATAGTTTGCAGGTAACTATAATCAAGGATTTCTACTACAGGAAGTTTACGCAAGGCAAAGACTTGCTGGAAGAAGTCAAATGCTTCCTCTAGTTTGCAAGCAGAACTATTAAAGTGCTATCCAGCAGTGTTAAAGCTCTTTTTAGTATTATAAATGGTTTTAAGGAAAGTCTGGAAGGCTTTCATGGTACAATTACAGGTCAACAGAGAAGGCAACAAAAAATGGTGAAAATTTTCCGTGTTCGTTTAAGCATCTAGTTTAAGCTTGTTTCTACCCAACTCAACAGCCATCTAGTTGAATTATTGTGTTTTGGACTCATTGTGGTACTTCTTTTATTTTAAACAAACAATGCCATTACCATTCCCTGCTTTGGTGCTAAAAGACTTTTAGGGTTCCAACCATGGAATTACAGGGTAATTCAGAGTTGTTTCTATTCCATGGCAGAAAACAAATTTCACCAAATATAGAAGAAATACAAGTTCTTCAAGCAGAGTTTTGTAAAACTCTATAGTAATACTTTCCTTGCAGTGCTACTGCATATCCACAAATACGAAAAGAAACCATGAAGCATGGCCAACAAAATTTAGCAGGAATTTTATTCTAGGAGGCACTTACATTCACTGTCATGTACAGTAAGCTTTAGTGAAAAACAAAACAAAAATACCACTAACAACTGGTAAAAAACAAACAAACAAACATATAAAAATACTTCCAGAGGATAAATCACATTATAGCCCATGAGTCTGGTAAATTTTAGGCTTTTAGCACAGTTTCCACTCCCTGTTCACAGACGCAGTATTTTAATTTTCAGTCCACTCCTCCTGTGGATTTCTAAGGCAGAATCGGGGCAGCAGGAGAGCAAATCAGAATCTTTATGACAGAAGACCTAATGCAAAAGTTAACTAAGGACTGTCCACTGGAGATAAGCCATGAAAGATCAGTACAGAGAACAAACCTCACATAACTCCGACATCAGGTGATTTCAGCTAGAGAAGTCAGAGAGGGAAGAGATGACAGAAGTACAGGCTTAGATGTTTCTCAGCCTCACAGAGGTCATGGGAACAGATGACAGAAATACAAGTTCAAGTATCTGTCAGCCTCATAGAGGGCATTTTAAATAAAAAGGTTTGTTGGGCATACTGACCCTAACTGTGGAACTTTCTTTCAGTTTTCATCAGAACGGACTAAATGAAAGCAAAGATGAATACAGTAACCAAGTTGTGCCACAAGACAAATATAAGTCAACTTATTTGAACAATATATCCTTTCTATGCATGTAATACACAACACAAAATGTTTTATTTGAAAAATAAACATTCAATACATTTTTAAAATAACATAGCAACTACATTCCACCATTTTGTCAAATCAAAAGTATATCCATAGGTTGCAAACTGTTCCTTTTAGTGGTCAAGCCTTAAAAGGATCAACATATTTGATCTGAAAAGTGCTGCAGAAGTAAGGTTGAGCTAGAATCAGGTAGAAATATGTAGTGCAGATATATACCCTTGCTAAGAGCTTGGGGTTTTTTGTTACTGTTTTTTTAAAAACAAACCCATGGGACAGCACACATCAAAGAGAACTGAAAGCAACTGTACCCTAAGCATGAAAGTACAGGCTATTTAAGTTGCCATATTAACGCACAGAAAAGGCTCCTTCCTGTTGGAGCTATCCGATGTTATCAACTGCTAATAAACTTAAAATCTGACCTATATTAAAAATCATCTGAGAATTCAATACAACTCTTCTGTGTCTATGATTTCCTCATTATGGGCTTTTCTTAAAAACTTTAAAATGGCACTAGTGTTTTACGATAGTGTACCCTGAGTGGACATACACCAAAGGAAACTAATTTCAGTTTCCAAGCTTCTGGCATAAAGGGAGAGAAGGAAGACTTGTTTCTTTTATACATTAGGAAGAATATCATAGTGTCTTTCAAACCAGTCCATTTGTGTCAGTGTTTGATATATTACTGTCTGAAATGCATAAAGCTTTGTAACCAAACACTTGCTTCGTTCCAGCTGAGTCTTTGACTTTATTCTACACCATACAATTTCATTATCTTCTTTCAGAGATCTGTCTTATCCTCATATTGACACATACATGCAGCTCTCTGGCTATCCAGGTATGGTTTACATCCTAAATGTATAACCGCATCAAACAACAGCTGAACAGTTGATTCACAAGCTGCAAGCGAAGAGGAGTTCAGTTAAAAGTACTCTTTGAATGGAATATGAAACAGGGCATAGCAAATAGACTGTAAAATGAAAGACTGAACCAATACAGAATCATTTAAGTCGTGAGGAAAGATTTTTCATGTGTCAAATAAGAAAATTCATAACATGTGGAATGTTATCAGTGTTAGAAGCATCATTTAGTCTTGGAAAGATGGAAGAGCTGGTTTAGCCCCTCACTTTTTGCACTCCTGTTTATGCAGAGGTCGCCATCTTTAACAGCAGCTCAACAGAATTGCACAAATATTCACCAGTTCTGACATTAAACACTAATGCCATGACTTATTTGCAGTTAAATGAATTTGAGAAGTTCAAACATAGACTTGTTCTGAAAACATACTGCTCTCAGTGGGACTACTTACTGTAAAAGTGACGTTGTCCAAGTTAAAAAGTGCAGTTATGTCATTTATTCATCAGATGCAGGCCAACAACCAGAAGGAGTATCATATGGACTGTTACTAAAAAATCTACAATTTATTCACTAAGAGATATCATTAACTACTTCCACTATGACAATATTTTATTCTTATATCTTATTTCATAAAAGGAAACAATTTAGTATGTTTCTACAGTTTACTAGAAATTACACATAGTAGGCATTTAGAAATGACCCAGTGAATATTCAGCTATGCTACAGTAAATAAAAGAATTATACATGAATTTTGATCAAGTTGTATTCCGATATTCATACTCCTAAATGAGAAGCATTTTTTTCCCCCCCCTCAAGGTTAGTTTTAACCCTAATCATTTTCCTACGCTGTGTCATTGATCTGCTGTACAAGTGTCTGGGCTGCACTACAGAGGGACAGAAGAAGGCATCAGCTTATGAAAATGTGGCAATACTGCACTGCACAATGATTCTTCGACGAATGAGCTCACTTAAGCTTGAAAAAAAAAAAAAAAAGGCTTTTTCACACTTACCCTGGACACTCTCTGAGATCCCAAGCGTTTTCTGCACATCTCTGCAAATTTTGGAGAGGCATGACTGAAACTGCTCATCACAATCATTTTTTTTATTGCCACAAGTATCGTAGCATCTGTCATGGTGATTGCAGCACTTTGTCATCGAAGGGATACCGATGTCAAACTGTGAAGTAACGCCCCCCCCAGACACTCCATTGATATTCCAGTTAAGACAAATATAGCCTACGAATAGACTGTAACAGTTACAAGTTAAAAACTAATGCCATCAATCCAGCTGTCATTCACTTACCTCTCTATTTCACTGTTCACCTCAAGTAAGCTGTGGTGGTTTGGCCCTGGCCAGCAGCCAAGCACCCACAGAGTTGCTTGCTCAACCTCTGTCCCCTCTCCATGGAATGGAAGAGAGAATAGGAAGAGCAAAAGCAAGGAAACTTGTGGGTCAAGATAAAGACAGTTTATTAGATAAATGAAAACGGAAAAAAATGCCCCAAAATAAGCAGTGCAAAAACAATCATTCACCACGACCCACAAGCAGATGGATGCCCAGGCAGTCTTTGAGCAACAGCCACCTTGGAAGCTAACCACACACACTCCCTTCTTCCACTACTCCAGTTTTTATTGCTGAGCATGACTACATAGTATAGAATATCCCTCTGGCCAGTTTGGGCCAGCTGCCCCAGATGTGTCCCCTCCCAGCCTCTTGCCCAGCTCCCCCCTCTGCTCTGGGGTGGTGGGTGGGCAGAGCGGGGAAAAAAGGTGAAGTCCCAAAGCTGTGCAACCACTGTTCAGCAGTGGCCAAACCCACGAACACTGTTTGAGCCCCAAATCCCAAACACAGCACCATGCAGCCTGCTCTGAAGAACGCTAACTCCATCCCAGCCAGATCTGGTACATAAAATAACCCGTATTTTCTTTCTAGCATTAAGGAAACTGGATTAACATCAGTAAAAACAGCAACAGTTAGAGCCAAACCCTCCAATCTCACAGGGTTACAGTTGGGATTACTCAGCACTTTCAAGACTGTGAGTACAAAACACTAAACCAAACATTAACAAATCAGAAATTAATCATCAACATTCCATTTGATCCCTGTAATATTTTATGTCAGTGATGAAAATGTTTATGTTATGTTGGTTTATAATACTAACATTTTTCAGATGTTGTTACCAAAGCATGTGTTGGAGTTGATAAAAGCAGGGAAATTGTACATGGATGCTGTCTCATCCTTAGAAAGGGGAGGGAAAAAACCACCCACATCGAGGAAAGCTGATATATGAAAGACACACGAAGATGCTCCGAAATGGAAATACTTACCTGAACTCCAAATAAAGGGGATCCACAACCATTTGGTGGTGATGGTTTATAGCCATAGCGAGGAAAGGGCTTTGATCCTGAAAAAGGTAATTTATCAGGCCTCAAATAGATTTTTTGACAGAAGTTTTTGTGCTATTAAAACTCACCACAGGCATTTGTTGGGCTTAAGACAGTATCAGTTATATTTCTGGACTTAAATTAGGCACCTGAATATCAACAATCCTTACCAAATTACCACTTAGGGGTACTAAGCACTTTTTTAAGAAAGGGAGACAAGACACCTGAGCAAGTGTTAATGTTAGCTTCCCAAATTAAGAAAAAGGGCTTGAGTTACTAAAATTGATGTGTCAGTTAAGTGTGCAATATATACAATTACATTAACGAACAGAGTACTTTAATTAATTAATAATCCCATGCTTTATATACAGTCAGCAATAGTACTCCGATTTTTTTTGCTTAAGCATTAAAATTAAATGGAATTAAACATCTTTTTATTTCTACAACTGCAACATTAATAAAATTTAAATTAGCAGAGACTGCTAAAGTCATATCTCCCTGAACACTTCCTAGTGCAGCTAGACAGGGAATTCTGCATCCCAAGTTAAGGAAGATTGTAGAGTTAATTTGAAAAATGACCCTCCACCTTGTTTCAGTATTGGAAACAAACTGAGGCCACAATTAAAAGTAGTGGAGAGGAAAAACCGTATTTGAAAAGTGCATATTCTAGCACAGAGGGGAAATGTCACAGTGTCCCGGCCGCTGTCGTGGAGCCAGTCAGGGTGCCACCACCGAACTAATTTCCTGATTTAACAAACAATCCAAGCCAGTAAACTGGGGGTAAATCGATTCAGCCGAGAGGAACCAAGAGGGTCTACCTGAACCCCCCACTTTGGGGGGGCTCCCGAAGCGCCGGTGACAAGCCTGGCAAGAAACCCCCTTTCTGGAGCATCGCCCGCCTGGCACCCCTCTGCGGCGGCCGGGGACGACAGGCAAGCCGCCGCCAGGCAGGTTAGATATATCTATATCTATATCTATATATATATAACTGCACACACACCTGTCTAAGAACTTGTTCCCGAGGTTTCCCCGGAGCGGCGCCCAGGACCGGCGGGAGCGCTGCCGCCAGCCGGTCGCTCTGACCGGGCCGGCCCGGCTGAGGCGAGCCGGCCGGCGGCAGGACAAGGGTCGCGGCGGGGTCCCGGCCCCCTCCCCGCCCCGCCGCCCAGCCTCACCGTCGCTGCACTTGTACTGGCAGAGGCCGTCCTCGCCGCCCAGCAGGTCGAGGGCCGCGTTGAGGTACACGTCGATCTTGTGCACCCCGTTGCGGATGGTCTTCAGCGTCATCCGCCAGTCGGGGGTCTGCGGGGCCTCCTGGCTCCGCGCCGGCCGCGGGCCCCGCCAGCCGCAGGCCAGCACCGCCGCCAGCAGCAGCAGCAGCAGCAGGCCGCGGGCCATGCCGAGCGGCGTCCCGCCGCCCGCTAAGCCGCCACAGCCCGCCCGCTCCCGCCGCTCGCCGCCGCCGCCGCCATCGGCCCCGCGGGCGCCGCCCCCGCCCGCCCGGCGGGGAGGGCCCTCGGGCCGGGCGGAGGGTTTCGCCCCTCAGCTGCAGGCGGCGACAGGAGAGACGCTGCAAAACGCGGGCCTAGCACCTGCCCCCTCCCCCGCCCCCCCCTCAAAACACGGGCTGTTTCCAGAGGAGAAGGGCCGCCGGCTCCAGCAGGTCACGGTGACCCGTGTTCCGCGGGGGGAACCTGCGCCCAGCCGGTCCCGACAGAAAGCGGGGGAGCGGCTGCCCGCCGGTTCGTGTGGCTGAGCAGGGCACGGGGAGTGGGGTATCGGTGCCATCAGATAATGCGAAACACCAGGACTTTTTTTATTTGGAAAACCTTTGTTTGAGGAGCGCGTTCGAAGTGGTGGGCTTGGCGTTGCTAAATGTGAAGGAAACGGCGATAGCGTGTTGGAGGAAAGGCGGATTTTCCAGCCGGCCGTTGCGAAACCGCGGCCGTGGGGCTGAGGGGAGCGGGCGGCAGGGCGGGTGTAGCGCCCTTCGTGCAGTCCGGGGGAGAACTGGTATTGATGCCGCTAGAAAAACGTGACCTTTTGCAAACCACACTCGTGTGGCAGCCGCGGAAATGCAGTATGGAACGTGTGCTTGAAGTGTTAAAAGTTTTAACCTAATTTTATGATGTTCAGTGTGAAGGGAACTGGTCCGGTGACCTTTACACACGCGAGTGATTCAGCTTCAGGTAACATCATCAGATGTGCAAGACGGGGTTGTAAATGAGGGCAAAATGAAAGTATATCAATTAAACATTAAAAGCCCAGTCTTGATTTGCTGAAAATAAAAATGAGACCCAAATTAACTCACTTGCTAGCTAACCATTCTGGTTTTGTTTGTTTGTTCGTTTTTTAATTATAAACTTTTTCTAAATTTTACATTTAAACTCTAGATGCTTCACAGATGAGCTAAAGTGGAGCCATGTGGAAATCCTTGTAATTTTTGTAATGAAAGCTCTGTTTTAAGACCTGGAATCCATCAGAACATTGTAGTATGTTCAGGACAAAGTTAACTGTAAAGAACAGGAAATGGAAAGAAAACCAACAGACTTCCAGATCAATAGGCAGAGCATTGTAAGTATTCTACTGTTTTTTCCCTTTTCAGCCTCGGCATTTATTATTATTCGTAGTTAACTGAAGCAATAGGTGGAAAAACTTCCCAGAAGTTAAGTCAAACAAAAGAGGGAGCTCTTCCTATGCCTGTCCCGCCTTTCCCTATGATTACTTGACAAAGACCCTGATTCTGCAAAATAATTCCTGTGTAGGAATTGCTTAAATGCTTTCCTAAATAGCAAGCCGTGTTGGGATGGGGTTAGGAGAAGCAATTCATACCCTTACTTAAGTTGCTGGTGATTGAAAGCGTCTTTAAATGACAAATAGATGCCGAGGTGGGTTTTTTACAAAACTGGAAGATGAAGAAAAGTCAATGAAAATGTAAAAATGGTGTCTAAAGCAGATGGAGATTGTCTTTCTGAATTCACCAAGATGGTACTGAAGCTATTTGACAATTTTGTGTCGAGGGTGCCAACCCACAAACCAAATTCTAGTACTTTTAAAAAATTTTGTGCACACTTTCTGTGCCTAACTCTTGCTGAATATGGGACTACTACATATAGACTGACTTTTTCTTATGGCAGGTACCATTCCTCCTGTCTAAAAATGTGTAGTTTACACAGTGGTCATTTGGGCTGTGCTTTCTGATTATCGTGGGCAGAACTTCCTCACAAGGACTGGTGAAAGCAGAATGATTTTCTGCTTAATCGTTCCAGTTTTGTTGATGGCCCTTTGTCTTCGACCAGTTCTGGGTCAGTTAAGGCAGCAGTAAAACTCCCCCTGACTGCACACTGCAGGATTAGGCCCTAGATACTCTTTCTTGGCATCACCACTTCACACTTCTGTCTGCTGGTGTAGGAAGCTTGGGCTGATTTGAGAATCTGGAGGGGGGGGAGGGGGGGCTTACGACTGAGAATATTAATTTTTAACTTTAGATCTGTAACTTGGTTTTGTAGAATTAAGTCTATATGTTTAATATATAGACTGTTTATATATTGTTATATACATTGTGTGTATATGTGTGTGTGTATCTGTATACTATATATACACACATGTAGTAAACCCCTACTTGATGTTAAGAATTTATTGGATATCAGAAATAGATATATACATACACAGAGAATTTAAGATAGTAAAGACGCTTTTTATTTAAGTTGAAGATGCAATTTTAAAAATTCCTTTGTTGTTTGTGACCAGCTGCAGTTAAATTAATAAAACTCTGAGCTACAAAAATTTCCTGAATCTAGATGATCAGATGAGGTATATTAGCTAGATAAAAATGGTCCGAGTTTGTAGCTGAAAAAACTACCACCAGCGTTACTATTTAGGTAATTGTTGCATTACAACAAACGTCATTATCAATCTGTCAATTAATAGATGGTCTGAAGTCTACTTTTGCAATAAGCCTAAAGAATCATCTGCCAAACAAAGGCAGCATCTCAAGGGTTTCTAGTGACCTAGTCTTTGAAATGATGGAACTTCCCTAATGTACTCTGGTTGCTGTCCTTTCTGTGAAGTTCACATACTGCCAGTGTAGTCCTTTTCAACCACTGCTTTCCATTGGTTGTCCATTTAAAATAAATAAACAGCCATAATTGAAATGCAATGTGAAATGTGGAAAAAAAAACCCAAAGTAACAACAAGAAAAAGATATTTTGATTTCCCTGCTTTTGTTAGAGACTTTTGCTGCAGACTCATGTGACTAAAATTCTCCTACAGGTTCTGCAAAATTGTGGTATTCATAGTGTGTTAAGAAATTTAAAAATATATTCTTTAAAGATTTGTACTAATTGTCGCTAAGTTACATGGCTGCTGATTGTAAAAAAGGACTAGTGTTTGGGTTTTTATGGTGATAAGGAGGAAGTATTTAATTTCCCAAACTTCAGATATTATACCGTGAAATGAGACTCCTTGTCACATGATGGCTAATCCAATCATAATAGCAGGCAATTTTTGTATACACACCAGGGTGACCAGCCTCCCCACAGTTCTCGCCCCAACTCACAACACCCCAGACATACGCCACATTTTCTGCATCAAAACAGACCAAGGGTCCTCCTGAATCACCTTTGCAGCTGTCTGTGGAGCCATCATGAGTACCTGAAGCCAAAGAGGAAATAAAAAGCAAAAATGAGTTCATACACAAGCTAGCACACCAAACAGAGCTCAGGAGGTGTTTCAGGTCCCTGTCGCTCCCTGACAGCTGTTTGCCTAATGGTCACTAGTAAATGAGGTTCCTAACCTCTTCCGTCTGTTACTTCTCACTTATTTCTTAGTGTGGGGCCTCTCTAAATTTGTGGCTGGCCCAAATTCTCCTCATCTGCTTTGATGTCAGTGATGTGAGTCTTGTTTTACCTTGTGCAATAGAGAAGAATTCAGCTATAGTGCCTATTACATTGTTAGGTGTAGCTCAATAAAAGTGGGAGGAAAAAGGTAAAAAGATTTTCCTATGGAAATGATGCTATTTTAATATGCGTGTCTATGTGTCTGCCTTTGGTGTCGTTCACCCAATAATTATTGGCCAGTTTCATCTGTACAGAGAGGCAGAGGCCTTGAAATTAGTTTTTCTACCAGCTTTATGAAAATGGGTGGGCAAGTATAAGAAGAAGAGCATGCAAATGCTGGGATGGGAGGGAGAGCAACTGTCTGTAAGTGCCCTCCCTGCAAGGTCTCGGTCACTGTGTGGGCCCTTTGCAATACCAGGTAGCACCCCTGAGGCACAAGTGTGTAGGACCCAGTGTTCTTCATAGGTTTCACTGCTCGTGGAACTACTTGTTTGCAATTCAGCAAATGTAGTGCTTGTGAAAAAATTAATTAAGAGTGAAGGATGTGATAGAAACCATGTTACAGACCTAGAATATGATTTATGCTTGTCCTGTATCCTCAGTAGAAGTTTATTAATTTCTAACACCCTTACTGCATTTTTCTGCTTGGTTGCTTGACCTAGTATGAAGGAACCCATACTAAGAATGAGTCTCCAAGTTTTTAAAAACATAACTTCTTTCCTGAATCTCTACATTACCGAGAAAGAGTTTTAGGACCTTTTCAGAGTTGGAATTACTAATCCTGTAAATCAAGATTTTATTGCCTTTACTCAGTTTAATTAATATTTGCTTGTATAACTAACTCCCGTGGATGCTAGCCCTTAATTCCAAAGATTGTATTTGCAGCAGGGAGGGGAAGCTAACCCCAGATACCCCTTTTCTGATGCTGTCCCATGTAATACTGTCTTTGTTCCCTCCTGGTAAACTATGATTACATGAGCTACATTGAAGATCAAGGAGATAAGTTACAGAACCCAGTATCTTACAGATGTCATGCTGAACTGATCACAAATTATTTGGCTTTTATATCTGGCTTTCATTTTTCTCATTGTTTGTTTAAATATTGCCTTTGTTTTTTGATTTAAAGAACAGTTGAAACTATCTGGCCTGTAAGTTGAATACTCATTGTTCTTTCAGTCATATATTTGGCAACGCTTTTTGTTACTTGAGAAGCAAAAAATATGTATTTGAAATCCTTATTTTAGTGCTAGGAGGGACAACCAGTTTCTTGGCCAGACTAATCTTAGTTAATTGTATTTTTCTTGGGGTACAGTGTGGTAGTAGCAAATGTCTAAGCAGAGGAATAGTCATATTCTAGTCAAAAGGACTACTAATGTGCTCTAAGACAGGCATTTGCTTAAATATGTTGTTGAATCAGAATCAAATATAATAAAGGTAGGAAGTTCAGTAGGCTGTAAAGTGCTTATGTATTTAGAAAACATAACTCAAATTGCATGCTGAAATGTGCCCACATAATCGTGCAACCTTGGCATACTGTCATCTTAACTCTATTTATAAATAGATATATAATGGTGGATGCATCTAGGCTCCGATGGCTAACACTTTACTAATGGTGATACTGTGGCAATTGTCCTTCCCAAGTCTAAAAGATTCCCAGCCAGTATGTCTGACCTTGTAAACAGTGGGTGCAATGGTAGAGAAATTATAGTAAGAAAACTCATGCTTGCCTGCACATGCCATTTGTTTAAAAAATCGTCCTGGATACAATTCGGAACAATTCTGAAATAAATGAACATGGCCCCACTTGAGGACGTGTGTTTTGTTATAACCTAGAAAAGAAAAGAATAAACTTTTCTAAATCAAAAATGGTAAGTACATCTTAGACACTTTTAATATCACAAATTGACAGTTATATATTTGCTTATCTACGGAATATAATCTTCAGTATTATAAACCAGATGCCTTAAACTGCCACTAACACCCCGTATGAATTGCAGTACGTCGTCCACAATGTCAAAATAAAAGCAGAGTGGTTTAATTGCAGTGTTAAATACAGTATTTTCATTTTGTCATATTTTCACCCTTTCCCTTTCCTTGTCTTCCTCATTTTTTTTTTTTCTGTGTTTTCCATATCGAGGCTTTTAGACACTGGGAAACTGGTATATTGTTTTCTGTGAAATGGAGATGTGACTCAGATTATCCTTGTTACCTTTATTCCAACCCTACTCTGTCTTTTTGGGATGAGTGGACCAGATAGTGAAGATACTGGTGACCTATGTATTCACAAGGTTAAGGAGATTCTCTGTCCATTTGCTAGTAATTCCTAACTTTGCATTTGTTTTATGGACTTCAACTGAGTACAGACAGGAGAAGCCTCACCACCACTATGCGGTAGCTCCAACGCCAGGCTGTAATCACTGTGATGAAAAACAAATGCTTCCCAAATCTCTGAAAGCACGATTGCATTTGGCTTATACATCTCTGTGCAACTTCCTCTGGGCTAAACTCAAAAACGGCTGAGACAAGATGTTCTGAGTTTCAGCACTGTTGGCTGCAGCTCACATCCTCTTGGGCAGGGAACAGAGGACAGGCTGTGCCTAAGGGCCACTGTCAGCTCCTAACCACCACTTGTTAAGTATGGTTGCCAGGTCTCCACAGCCAATATAAATCTTAGATTGGCAAAAGGAGCATTTCTTATCGTCAGGGTAGTTTTTAACCAGGGGTGTTATCCAGATC